TGACTCGGTTTTGGAGTCTTCTGAACATCCACATTCTTTATTTTCTTTGTTGTATTTCTTGGGAGTTGAAAGAGAAAATGCTCTTCAGACTCTAGGGATTTTTACCTCTTAGTTTGTGGTCCCATTTAAGATTCAGTAACTGTGGGGGAAAGACCACCCTGTCTTTAGTTAATTAGGGCTGGTCTCTTGCTGGCACTCTCCCTCCATCTGACACATTGTTGCAAGAACATGCTCCACCTCAGGATGCTGTACTGGAGACACTAGAGGGGTAGGCAACCTTTTATTAGTAGTGTGCCAAAACAAACACTTTGAAGTCTATTGGCATGCTGGTCCTATTTTTTTCCAGAGGTGTGTATTTTGTTGTATTCTGCTTGTGTTATTTACGGGTGCTGTAGTTGCTTTGAAGCATTGTGTTTGTGTGTATGTGGGCTGTTATTTTGTATATGTTCATGAGTAGTTTGTGGTATACCTATGATTGGGGCTGCTTGTAGAATTGTATGTCTGGGTGATATGTCACATTGTGTGTTTGGTAGGCTGTATATGTGTGGGGCTGCTTGTGGTGTTGCATGTGAGAGGCTGCTTGTGGGGTTATGTTCATATATGTGAATTGTTAGTGGTGTTATCTTTGTTTGTTTGTGGGCTGTTTGTATTATTTGTATGAGGCTTCTTCTGCAGCTCTGTTTATATCGAGCAGTGTAGGTGGCCTCCCTGGGATCCAGGCTAGCCAGGTACAGGTCAAAGGAAGGAGGCACAATAGCTGCTGCATGCTCCTCTACTCCACTGTGGATTCCAATTCACAAGTGAGGGATGAAATAGATCAGAGATCACTTCCACTAAGTGCTGTAAATGTGTAAATTGAAGATTGTCCCACACCACCTGCAATCATAGCTCTGTTTGCACTAGAAGATATTTAAAGGCCAACTGAGTGCCATGGATGGCTCACGTGCCATAGGTTGCTGACCCCAGCCCTAGACATTGCCTGAGCCAGTCCTCATCATCCACATCCCTTCTTGAAATTTAATTAGGAGCTCCTCCATGAGGTAAATTCAGTAAGTTGCATAAACTTTCCATTTATAGTGTTTTTGGTGATGTGTGACATGTACCTTATATATCCCCATAGCCAACGAAAAAAACAGCACAAGGTTCCCTGGCTCCCAAGGAAGTGCTGTGGCAGTGCGATCCAAATTGCTCAACTCACACTGTGACAGCTCGGGTAGAGGGGTGCACTAAATAGCAAACCGGGGAAGAGATGAGGGGTGAACTATTGATCTCTTCTGTTCTTTCCAAACACATAAAGACAAGGGACTATACCTACCTGCATGCACTACTCTGGGGAAGCAACAAAGAAAAGGAGTCACCAAGGGTAACAAGTGTTGCATTATTAACTATACCTGAAACATGGCCTCCTAACCTTACACTTTATTCCTGATTTTCCTGCTCTTAATCAAGAATATCCAATGGTGATGGAAATGTAACTTTAATAATATAACCATGTATTACTATAACAGGAAAAAGTATCAATAGTCTGTGTATTACATCTCAACAAAGATATACAATGTAAACTGCTATCAATACCACTCTGTAGTGTAGGGGGATTCCTATTTGGGAACATAGTAACCTCTAACCTTTCACAGACTGCTGCTGCTATTGGCCTGCAGGAAACAATATATATATTTATATATTATAGTGTATTAAGGTGAATGCCAGGCTTGCTCTCCCTTCTCACCTGAAAACATGCTCTGAGCTCCAAATCTTCATGTCTCCCACGCAGTGCAGGAGCCTATTGTGCTGGGATCAGAAGCTGTCACAGGTCTTGCAGCATAGAGATATATAACCAGGACTCACGGCTCCATCCAGCTGCACAGGTCCTCTCTGTTAACGCTGCAGCCTGCCTAAATGCTGCACGGTGCATGCCTGCATTCACACGCGTGTGGCGGATCACAGGCACCCGGTCTGTCCGCGTCCATATAACTGAGCGATGGAGGCTGCCCACTGCCTGCATGCGGATGCTCTATACCCAGCAGGGTACCGCTTGTATTACAAGATACAAGGCTCAATCCCGCCCCTTGCCTGCGTCACAGGTCATGACAATGCCAGGGGGGGGGGCGACGATAGAGAATCAATGAAGCAGCATCAACGTTCTAGAACGTGTAAGGAACCTGTCTCACAATTCCAGGAAAACTACCAGCAGCATTAGACAGGCTCTGGTACCCCAGCTGCTGGCTTAAACTCACAGCACACCCTGCCTGCCTTGAATTAGCTTCCTAGTACTGAATTCAGCTTTAACCAGCGTAAGACATAAAGGTGCAAATAACAAGGACTAACTGAATGGAGCAGAGCATGCCACTAAGGAAACCACAAGGAAACTGTAACATGTTCAAAAAAATACAAGAGCATCAGTATATCTTAAAATTGAATTATTAATTCTCGTGTGAAACACAAAATAAATGCAGCCTATAGACTACAGTTTAAATTGTGTTCAGGGTTTTTCAAAAAAAGGGTGGGATTGCAGGTTGATCTGTCCTTATAACTACCTATAATGACGAATCTGAATTTCCAAGATGGAAGCCTACAAGGATTTTTTTCTTTATGTCCTCAGCAGTATTAAAAAAAAACTAAACAAAGAGAAAAAAAACGTGTATTGTATATTGTTTTCAAATAATAATAGTACACAAATGACCATTGGGTCTGCAGCAGAGCAAACATTAGGTAGGATTACAATTTTAGATGAAGGGTATAGCAGGTAATATAGAAATTTTGGGCATGAAATCGAGATATATAAACTTTTCAGCCAGCTTACATAAGACTTCAGTAGTATTTCCACATGTCCACCATTACACTGATCTATCAAGCTAAAAAAAAACAAAAAAAAAAAACCTATTCTACTCCACCCGGACAACAAAAGTTTTCTCCCTCAGCTACATCCTTTACATTATAACCCAGTGGTTTCCTAACTTTTTAGGTTCAGGTTTGTGGGGCAGGTTGAATGAGGGGTACAGTGTGTTTGTAAGGGCTACACTGTGTAGGGGGGGCAAGTTATGTAAGGGGTGCAATGTGTGTGGGGGTGGGAGGGCAAATTTATGAAAATATATTATATATTTTTTAAATTATAAATAATACTTTTCATATCCCCCCTCCCTGCTTACATTTGCCTGGAAGGGAGGACATTTCCTGCAATCCCTGGTGGTTCGTTGGGAAGCCCTTGTGGTCCCAGTGGTGAGAGTGAACTCTAGCAGCCACAGGAGCTGCTAGAGTTCACATGAGATTCAGAGTGTTGCCGTGGTAATCACAGCAACGCTCCGAGCTTACAAGAGGAGAACCCGTACTGCATAGCCTGCAGGGGAGATGGAGGCACGGTTCCAGATGCTATGATCATTTTGGGAGCTGTTGTTACAACCAATTGCAATCATGTATTAGTACATTTCTGAACCACCTGCTCTAAACCAGACATTGACACTACTTTGGATACACTGACTTCTTCTATATCCTACTCCATCTCCTTTCTTTATTCTCCATTGTGGACTCTGTTAACCCCTTTTTGTGATTCCATGTAATCATGACCACCGCCAGTTTCATCACTTTTGCTATGTGTTTATTCAACCATAATTTAATGATTTCTCTAAAAGGGACACTATAGGCACCCAGACCACTTTACCTCATTGAAGATGTCTGGGTGCAGTGTTTCTGTTCCCTTAAAGGGACACTATAGTCAGCCAGACCACTTCAGCTCCTCCAGGTTTTAACGCTTCAGATGTAAACATAGCAGTTTCATAGAACCTGCTATGTTTCCATTGCAGGGTTAATCCAGCCTCTAGTGGCTGTCTTCCTGACAGCCGCTAGAGGCGCTTCTGCGACGCTGGATGCGAAAATCGCATTCAGCGTGCAGAACGTCCATAGGAAAGCATTGCGCGGTTCTTGCCGAGCATGCGCATTCCGCTCCACTCGGAGCCGACGTCGGAGTTAGAGGAGAGGTCCCCAGTGCTGGATTAAAGTAAGTCCCTTCAGCACCAAGGGAGGGGGGCCCTGGGGGGGGGGGGGGCTAAGGGTTGTATAGTGTCAGGAAAACAAGTTATAGTGTTCCTTTAACCCTGCAATGTAAAACATAACAGTTTTAGAGAAAATTAAAAGTTTACATAGAAGGTTTAGCTCCCTTTTGATGGGGTGTAGTAAAGAACAAGATTTTTGAGAGGAAGACCCAGACAATGAACAAATTAAAAGAGATCATCTAGGAAGTATTTATGGACATTTTTGGGCACCGGAATTTATGTCATAATGTGAGTCACAGGGTCCTGGGCAGGTTTGAGGAATGTTGCAACGTTGATGGAAGACATTTCAAGCACTTACGAGATGAAATAATATGTAACAAAGATACATGTAATAAACAGTGTAATAAAATGCAAATAAACTATACTGTATACCTATGTTTGGGCCACCAATATTTCTCCACGAGAAGTACTTACTTCTGCTTTTAAATATAGTTTAAAGTGAAACCCTCCCACCTCTTTCCTTGATATCAGGGAGACATTACTAAGGTGTTAAATAAAAGTGCTTGATTTGTCTTGAAATCTTCACTTTTATTAACGCCTTAGTGACCAGATCGTTCTTAAATTTTCTTACCGTTAAGGACCAGGGCTGTATTTTAAATTTCTGCTGAGTTTGTGCTTATATTTTTCCATATATTTTTGAAAAGTAGACACCCTAGGGTGGTATTTTAATACTTTCCATGCACTAATTCTGCTTCCAGTCTTTATCAACCTTTTGGGTAGTAATTTTCTTGTGTTATTTTTCACACACATTGTACTTTAGGCATGGATTCTCAGTTCGTGTTATGTATTACTGCTAAAGAACATCCCAATATACAAAGATTTCTGCCGCCTTAGGCAAAGATCCATTTTGCCGCTCCCTCATGTCACTCTCTTACTGACAGACACACACTGGCAGACACAAACACTCACTGAAAGACACACACAGACACTCACTCACTGACACACACACACACAGACACTCACTGACATACATACACTCGCTCACTGACAGACATACATTCACTCACTGACAGACACACACTTACTCACTGACAGTCAAACATTCACACACTCACTGACATACAGACACTCACTCACTGACAGACACACACACTCACTAACAGACAAACACACTCACTAACAGACACACTGACAGTCAAACACTCACACACTCAGTGACATACATACACTCACTTACTGACAGACACACACAAACACACTGACAGACACACACCGGCAGACACTCACTGACAGACACACACACTGACAGTCAAACACTCACATACTCACTGACAGACACACACAGGCAGACACTCACTGAAATACATACACTCACGCATTGACAGACACACACACACACACACACTCACTGACAGTCAAACACTCACACACTCAGTGACAGACACACACACAGGCAGACACTCACTGACACTCAGACAGACACACACTCACTTACAGACACACTGACAGTCAAACACACACACTCACTGACAGACACACACCAGCAGTCAAACACTCACATACTCACTGACAGACACACACACAGGCAGACACTCACTCATTGACAGACAGACACACACAAACACACTCACTGACAGTCAAACACTCACACACTCACTGACACACAGACTTAGACATCCAGCCTCCTTAACTCCCTGGGGTCCAGTGTGGGCCAGCTCCACACTCCTCCAGCGTGCTGTTTAGTATGCCGGGGCCAGAATGATGTCATAGTGGGAAGCTGCAAGAAGAGCCTCCCTCGTCGCCCACACTGCCGCCTGCCTGCCTCCTCTGGCATTCATTGGCAGAGCATCAGGGCCACCTCCTGGGCCCCCTGTGACAAGACCAGGCGCCTGGAGGATCATCCCGGTGCTGAGGGGGGGCCGCTCTAGAGCCGCTTGCCCAGCACTGCGGCTCAAGACAAGGGGAGCCCACCAGGAAATATCCTGGTGGGTGCCCCCAGCAGGCCAGCGCCCTAGACGAATGCCTAGGTCGCCTAATGGTGGTGCTGGCCCTGACCACCCATGTACAGGTGTGTTGGATTTTCTGGGAGCTAAAAGACCTTATTTGGAGAGTGCACATTCCAGTTTTCCAATTTGGAATTTTCAAATCTGGTCATCATGCACCCATGTCCTATTTGGGACATTTTTGAAGCCGGTCAATGTAATTTACTCCCATCAAACCATATACTTTTGAAAAGTAGACACCCTAGGGTATTTAAAATGGTGGTATTTTAACACTTTCCATGCACTAATTCTACCACCAGTCTTTGTCAACCTTTTGGCAAGTCATTTTTTTGGTTATCACACACATTGTACCTTAGGCATGAATTCTCAGCTTCTGCCAAAGAACACCCCAATATGTGTTCAGCAACAACTCTGCAATGCCGAACTTCTGACAAATGTTTTTCAAATTTGACATATCTTCTTTGCCTATCTTCTTTTTGGGGGCCTTTTTACATATCCCAATTTATTTTCTTGCCATGGCACATGTTTGTGGTGCTTTGGGGAAGCAGGAGGCGATATCACCTGTGAGCGAGTAGCCAGACGTTGCCAAAATGTCTGGCACACAGCTTTGAATCTGGCATTGAAAGAGTGCAGCGTTGGGGACTGGGATAATCTCCACCGGTTGGGGGGGGAGGGGGACAGGGGGTTGCAGCAAGTCCCACCTGGTGTTGTGTCACAGGGACCGGGTGTTCGGTCGCCTCACCCATCCGCCTGTCGTGCTGGGCAGCAGCGGGGTCTCCAGTGAGAATATTCTCAGGTAAGTTGCTCTAGTCCGCCCCTGGGCCTGTTGTGGGTGAGATGCAGTGCACTGAGCTTTGTGGGCTGGCTGCCTGTGGTACAGGCTTAAATAGTTAGTTCTTGTGGCAGCTCTCACAATGTGCAGCGAGCCGCCATGATGCCCAGGCCCCGCCCCTTCAATTTTTCATTTTTACTCACACACACACATATTGCTTTTTGACTGTAATTTAGGAGAGCCTGTTGTTGGTTGTTTCTGCAAGGTCTCCTGAGTCCATGCATAGGTGTGCCAGGATTTTGGGAAGGTTCAGTTAGAATTGAATGACGTTGAAACGGAGAGTATTTCTTCTCATAGGCCTATCTTTAGTTTGGGGCTTATCACGTACCCTAATTTTATTTATTGCCATGAAAGTGTATAAATTTGAAACATAGACACCCCGAGGTATTGTATATGGAGTGCTTTAATGCCTTTGATGCAACGGTCTTGGCCCAAAAAAAATTGGAGAAAGTGTGTGGTAGTAATTTTTCTATTTTCATTTTTACACACACATTGCTTTTTGACTGTGATTTAGGAGAGCCTGTTGGTTATTGCAAGAAAACACTCCAGGTTGTTTTCTGCAAGGCCTCCTGAGTACACCCATGCCCCACATGCATAGGTTGAACTTGATCATAAAAATAGTCTGGCACAGTAAAAGTTAAAAAAACAAACAAACTCAGGAACAGTAAATGTAACCCCCCCAAAAAAACTGAACTGAAATTATTATTATTTTTTTTTTAATGCACCAGTGTATGGTATCGCTTGAAGCAGTCCCCAATGCAGAGTACAGACTGTCCAGGGCAATCAGGACAGTAAAAGACGGTGTCCTTTCTCTGCCTCCTCTTGAAACAGACTCTGCATCTTCTTTGAGGATTCTGCTTTGCCGCAGTAGGGGAGATTTAATAAAAAGTCGGGAGTCTAACTCTGCGTCCTCCCATCACCGCACGGGAACAGGTGCATTATGGTACAAAATCCCCAAAATGATCTGGAGCTGAAACTGTAAAAACGTCAGTTTCATTCCGGGGTTTGCTTTTTTATTAGGTAGGGCTGCAGCAGCTGATCTGCCAGATCAACCCCACCCATTTGCCGGTTATAGGCTGTGATGCACAATGGCTTCCTTGTGCTCTCAGCTCTGCCACGTACAAAGACCTCCACTGGTTCCCATATGTTCTTGGCAACTTGGAGGGTCAAGGTGGCTATCCTTTTCCTCGCACACCCGGAAGGCCTGAGTATACCCATTCTCAGCTGAACAGAGAGAAACAGAAGGGCGGGGGCAGACGCAGAGCTAATTAGCGCTGGATTCAAGACTTTGGTGTTAAACTTTTCAAGAGGGTAAGCCAATGCCAATATGAACTTCATTCTGATGAAATTGGTATGGTGCCTGGAGAGTTTTATTTAAAGAGAAGCCCACTTTATTAGAAACAAAAAATAGATACACAACAGAGACCTTCTATCTCCACCTAATGTGTTTCATACTAACCTAAGCACACAATCATAGGCAAGTATAGACCTCCAACACACACCTTTATAATTGTAAGTCATGGATAGCATAATCTCAAGTCATGGATAGTCAATCATAGAAAAACAAATAAGCAAACTATAATATCTAGGCACATTAGCAAGTGTTTCTTTTTAAAGCGATAGAGCAAAATGAAAAAAAAAAATACAAAACAAACAACAAAGAGGAAATGTTTCACATACAAGCGCATGTGCATTATAACTCAATATACGATAATCATAAAAAGATAATTAAATGTACTACCTGCAGAAGAAAATTAGCCTACAAAACATGGAACTTCAAATTCAGAATTGGGTCCTAAAGGTGTCCTTGTTTTTAAGTAAAAGGCAGTGTTAATTTTGTGGACTAACAATTTTAGTCAACTAAAATTTTTGAGAATTAGTCAACTAAAAAGATGACTAAAATACGACTAAAACTAAAATGCCATTGCTGTGGAAGAGGCAAAAAAGGCGACTAAAACCCCTCTGGAGATTTAGGCGACTAAAATCCACTGGAGATTTAATCGACTAAAACAAACAATTCCGATGACTAAACTATGACTAAAACTAAAATGGCTTTTTAGTCAAAAGACTATGACTAAAACTAAATTAAAATTTGCCACCAAATTTAACATTGGTAAAAGATCCATATGACTTCCTGATAATTCAGCTGATACCTAATATTACCAGTTGAAACAGTTAGAAAGAGTTTCTGTATCCCACAAAAACTCAACTCTGAATTATTACACATATGAAAATGTTTAGCTACTGGAGTTATTTTTATTTATGTTCTTACATCACGCTCTCTAATCATCGCCTTCAAGGTTTTTTAAAGTTTGACCAACATATTGCATATTGCACTCCATGCCGGCAAGTAAATAGATTACATTACAATAATTCTCTTATATGATATGTTTTACCTGTAACTATAGAAAAACAACAAAAAACACATTAGTAATCTGACCTACCCACGTTTATACCCACACTTATGCATGCGCAAGGATTTTTGGGTACAGATGCACCCCCCCTTCCCTGTGTGCCTCTTAACCTCCCTTTTGTGTTTCTTTTCCCCTCTTCTGAATGTCTTACCCCTCTCTTAATGTGTGTCTTACACCTCCCTTGTGTGTCTCTTAAACAAAACCTTGTGTGTCTCTTATCTCCCCTCTTTGTATGACTCTTACATCCTCCTACATTTTGTGTGTCTTACTTCTCCGAGCCCCTTTGTGTCTTTTGCTCTTCCCAGCTCCTTTGTGTGTTTCTTTCACATCCAGCCCCTCTCCCCTCCCTGTCCCTTAGTGTTCATCTCCCCTCCTTTCCCTGTCCCTTTGTGTTTCTCTCCCATCCCCTCCCCTCCCTGTCCCTTGGTGCACCCCCACTCCCTTAGTGGTCCCCTCCTCTTCCTAGTGTGCCTCCTAGCTCTCTTGTAGTGTGGCCGAATGTAGAGGATCCCAGTACAGAAGCTTCAGTTTTCTGTACCCAATATACGATAATCGAAAACGCGTTATGGAAATATAATTTTGTATAATAAATATTAAAGTTTTTGGTTACTTGATAGTCCCAACTACCTTTATTTATACATTTACCCTGGCTATTTATACATATCTTTTTAGTTATATGTTATATTTTATATACATTTTATCCTGATTTTAATATCACCTCTACAAGTTCCTGGCAATCAAAGAAATCCTAGGTGGGGATTATTCCACCAGCGCTGGCATCAAAGAGCAGTTGGCCTGCTCTGTACTTGTAAGTAAGTTTTTAATTCTTCTCTACGATATATATTTATACAGAGAGCACTATCTGGCTGTTTCTGCTTTCTTTGAGTTTTGGATACCCTGACGAACCCATCATACATCCCATAAGCGGGGATTATACCGCTGTGTGCTCTTTACCCTAGAGCTGGACAGAAGCTCTGAAAATTGTGAGTTCGTTATCGTTAT